ATTAGGGACGGCTAGCGCAGATAGCCCTCGTGTAGCTTTGCGCGAAATTCAAAACAAACAAACAAACCATACATAAAGAAATATCGAACCGGCAGCGTAGCATCAAAGGAAGTGAGGGGAAGCTTACTTTACACTTATGAATACGGTTTATCATTTTCGGACTCAACAATTTTTTTTTTAAGAAAACCATTCAGCGAACACTGATCCTTGGTCATCCTCATAACAATAGGTACCTGTCTTATTTTTATCGTAAGTAAGTAAAAGAATAACAGCGTGCTTTTAGGCAATATAAAACTCGAGCGTATACCTAGCTTTTCCCCTTAGCTTATTATATTGGAGTGCTAAAATTACCCGGATGTTTAATATATCTAAATATAAACTAAAACTCATCTACTTTAGTAAAAATGGATGCTCTTGTAGTTTATCTGTATGTTTTGCAATCTGGTTTTTGCGTTGTAAAGGTGAAACTGGTATCTTATTATCTAAAGAGAATAATTAGGTATAAAGATTTAGTGAACAGGAAGCGGACAATAGTAATCTTGCCCTGGTTACTTCCGGTGGCTCAATGGTACGTTTAAGGGGGCTTATAATAATAAAAAATCAGGTTTCAATGGTCGAAGTGAGCACAGCACAGATAAACCATTGTACAGCTTTAAACCTAACCACAAACAAATATACTTTTTCCTCACTTTTAAGTCAGATTTATTTATCTTACGTCTGCTTTCTTGAAACTGTATGAATTTTGTTTTAGGTTAACAGAATCAGATTTAAAAAAATAAAGAAAAACATAAACTCGATGTGATGTTTTTAGCTAACAGCAACATAAGGTTAATCAAACGATGATTACAGCAGTTCCAAATTACATATAAATGGGGGCCGAGTGCGGGCCAATGGTTAGCGTGCCGGACTGTAAATCTGAGGTTCCTTTTGTTCGATCCCTGCTACCACTAAAAAAATTACAATAAAAAATCGCGCCACGTCCTTTAGGGCCGTGGATGTATTATAAAAGTGACAGACAAAACAGTCTAATAAAAGTAGTCAAAGAACTGACGGTGGGTGGTGTTGAATAGCTGTCTTCCCTTTAGTTTATCACTTCAAAATTAGGGATGGTTAGCGTAGATAGCCCTCGATCAACTTTGCACGACATGCAACAAAAAAGTACATGTGAATAGTCTGGATTAAAAGATAAACACGAAGAACTTTAACTACTAAATGACAATCTGAGATATACACTATTTTCATTTTGGTTCTTTTTTTCTTCTTCTTTTGAAGTGTATAATTGAAATGATTAATGGAAACTACATACTTGTTTTTAAAGAATATCCATAGAGAAAAAAATAGTTAAAAAAGGTTTAACCAATGTGAAAGTGATAATCGAAAGAAGAGAAAGGAGGGTAGTAAGCACTGAAACAGAGTGAAGTGCTACGAAAAGGGCGGTACTGTTAATTAACTCTGTGTCTTTGGAGTTCTGTATAAAGTTAACAAAAGGTAACACAGATGATAAACACGCCAAACCAAGCTAACGAAAAATTGTAGCGTTTAACGACCTTTATATATTCCAAGAATACAAGGCATTGCAGATAGACAGGGATGGTAAGTCGAGGATGTTTTAGTGGCTTTCAAAATCTTACTCACGCTCGTTTCTTACACTGATTTCAGAGAAGAACTGGAAAACCATGTCAAGTGAACGATTATTAACATTATTAATTTTCTCTTTAACTGCAAGGTGTAAAAGAACTAAAACTTACTTACAAATCTAGAGCTATAAATGGTAATTTATTTTATACTATTATTCAATGCTTTATTACATAACATTTTGAGAAATGTGGAACTGTTACGTTTGTTTTAGAACAAAGTTACACAATGAGCTATCTGTGCTCTGCGGAGAAAGCGAACTACGGGTTTTTAGCATCGTAGCATTCAAGAGTAAATTTCAAAAAGTATTTTTCATATAACATTAAACGATATGGTATCTTTTAGACGATTTACAGGTTTGATAAAAAAAAAACATTAAAAAGACAAACAACAGCATATATTTTACAGGAATTTGTATAGCTAAACATTTGTAAAACCACAGTAAACATTCTTCGAGATTTTCGTAGACAAAGTACAGCAGATAACAATAGACAAATTTACAGGTTTTCATAGATAAAAATGCATTAGGACATAGTGTAAAGTTCACATAAAGTTCATAAAGGCGACAAAAAGTTTCGGAAATAAAATTCACTTGACAATGGGTAAGTTTCAATAACGTTTTACGATATATTTGATTACTAGGCACTTTGAAAGATGTGTCAGATAAATATCTGTGAGATACCGTATTCTTTGGGTTAAAGTGTTAATAAAAGTGACACAAGTTCAAAGGATTTTCCAAACATTCACAAGTTGACGCAAAAAAGAACAATTCTAAGGTTATTAACGTATGTGAGCCAGTAACAAAAAAGAACTGACAGTAATTTTAACACACTTTTATTACCTGAATATATAAACACTTGCAAAAGCAACCATATGACGCGTAACATTTTAGAGAGAAGGTAGTAATTTTTTTTTTTCTGTTTTTTGAAGCTTTGAGTGGGACGTATTCTTTACGTACTACTAATGCAGGAGCTCCGTCTTCACCGACCAGCTTACCACTTTCCACTACTGTAGCGTGTGGAGTTTCGTTGTCGGAGGTCCCTTTGGCATGCAACATCCGCCAGTTAAGCAAATTAAAGCGGTTTCTGACAACTCTGGAACAGTTTGGGAGTGACATTTCACCGGAAGTATGTGAAAATGTACATAACCTTATTCTGGGCTTAGTGGTGAGTTATGTTGAGAATGAAGCGAATCTAATACAAATATGAAATGTTGTACAGTTTAATAATGTTTGCGAAATACGGTAGTTGAATGTTCTAACGATGTTTACGCGGAAATTCTATTATACATTTATTCTTAATTTTTACAAGTTTGTCCAATATATTTTTGTTACTCGTATTGTTGCGTTTGTACTGATAAGGGATTTGTCCAATATATTTTTGTTACTCGTATTGTTGCGTTTGTACTTATAAGGGATTTGTCCAATATATTTTTGTTACTCGTATTGTTGCGTTTGTACTTATAAGGGATTTGTCCAATATATTTTTGTTACTCGTATTTTTGCGTTTGTACTGATAAGGGATTTGTCCAATATATTTTTGTTACTCGTATTGTTGCGTTTGTACTGATAAGGGATTTGTCCAATATATTTTTGTTACTCGTATTGTTGCGTTTGTACTGATAAGGGATTTGTCCAATATATTTTTGTTACTCGTATTGTTGCGTTTGTACTGATAAGGGATTTGTCCAATATATTTTTGTTACTCGTATTGTTGTGTTTGTACTGATAAGGGTAAGGAAGGTCGATTCCAGATTTTTCTAATTTTATTTCCGCGACAAAAATAATCAACAATAAAATAAAAAAGCAACAACGTAATATTTTAAAAGTTTTGTATAAAATATTGTGGTGTCTAGTCAGAGTTTTGAATGTTACGGAATGCTTGAGATTTTGTACTTACGAACAAAAAAAAATGTAATGCTACTTAGTATAAGTTTTTATGGTATTAGTGTTTAAGAGTAAATTAGGAGTATTAGTAAAATGTATTGTATGTTAGGAAAACTGTGACTCAAATTCCCATTTGTGCAGTAAAATGACTTTGTTCTACGTTATTTATTTTTTCATCATAGGTTTAAACTTAGAATAAATTGTTAAGTTGGTAAAGATGTGTTTTAGGCTAGGCATTAAAACTTCGTTTTTGTCAAACCAGTTTTTCTTCTACTTCTTCTTAGGATTCTTCTTTAAGCGTTGAAGAGTTTCACCGAAAGGTTCAAGCTGTTACAGGTTATCCTCTCCGACCGTTTGTTGTTCCATTCTTAAAGGTATGGTATTAAATCCAAGTCTAAAAACAAGTGGCGTGATAAATCTTCAACATAATTGTGGAAACTACAGCCTTTGAAGCATAATCACGATGCTATTTATGACAGCAGAACACGGAGGTGCAATAGATTGCTATAATGTTACCATCTTAAAAAAACGTATGTACTATAGCGACATCTTAAAAGTATTTAAGATCTGTTTATCTGAAATGCTATTTATATAAAGTGCATTAAAGTTGATGTTAAATTATAAAACGCATAAGAAGCAAAATGTTTGTCAGTCAACTTTTGTGGAAACTTTAGATATTTCATACGTTTTCTTAAATTATGAAAAGAGAGCGATTAAACGTGAAAATAAATAAACAAACATACGAGTTAAGGATTACTAAGTGGGCCGCCATCTTTTGGTAGAACTGAAAACTACACATGTACATTTAACGTAAATATACACAGAGGAAATTCTGTATTATTTCATAAAAACATGTTAAAATGTATATTTTTTCCTTAGATTTTACTTCTTCATAAAAGTGAAATATATCGTTGTGCAATATATTGACTATTTTGTTTCGCAATAATGCTTAATTGTTTATTTATCAAGTATTCAAAGTTAGACCTAATATATTACAAAACAAATATTATACACTTTGTTCATGATAAACAACAATAATTAAATATCTGTTACAGTACGTACACACACGTGTCAAATGTTCGTTGTTGCTTCTGTCGTTTTGTTGTTCATCATTAACCTTCGATTCCCATCGAATGAATCTGTCACTTTGTTCATGCTTTTAACTACAATACATTTTGTAGTTAAATTTTACTACTAGCTTTTGTTTTATTCAAATAAATATTTTTACATTTTCTACAGTCTCACTTGCCAATGCTGCAAACTGAGGTTCTACATTTTGCTCGGTTAACCAAACAAACACCGCAGCAGTATCTGAAGCAGTACGAGCAAGCCGTGTTAGATTCAGTAGCGCACCCTAGTGGAGAACCTTTTGAGATATTTCAACCAGAAAGTAAGGAGAATAGAAAGAGGCGCACGCCCTCTCACAGGTTAGAAATGTTACATTGATATACTATTTACGAATAATTACAATTTATTAAACTAATATTATAGAGCATTAGATTATATTTTGCCTTTTTCATTTTCTCTTACTTCTCTCGAACCGAGGGCTACCCAATGGCTATCGTCCCAAATTCTGAATCTGTGGGTCAATGTTCGCGTCTCACTATCGCTGAAAATAAAAAAAAATCGCGCTCATTTCTCTCTGTGGCCGTGGGTGCGTTTTAAGGATGACAGTTCTATTCCGTCGGACAAGAGTAGCCCAAAAATTGTCGGTAAGTGCTGTTGACTAGCTGCCTTCCCGCAGTATATCAATTCAAAATTAGGTAGGGCGAGCGCATGTTGCCCGTAAGTAGATTTGCGCGAAAGAGAAAACAAAAACTCTTATATCGCATTTTTTTTATAACTTCTCATTCAGCTTATATTTTATTACACCCTATTTTACCATTCACTGTAACCACATTACTTGGATTTATTGAAAATGCTCAATCGAAATAATGTTTTTATAATATTAATTTTCCAAATGAAATTTGTGGTTTATATATATAAAATTCTAGATGTTTCCAAGTTTGTTTGTTTGTTTCTGAATTTCGCGCAAAGCTACACGAGGGCTATCTGCGCTAGCCGTCCCTAATTTAGCAGTGTAAGACTAGAGGGAAGGCAGCTAGTCATCACCACCTACCGCCAACTCTTGGGCTACTCTTTTACCAACGAATAGTGGGATTGACCGTCACATTATAACGCCCCCACGGCTGAAAGGGCGAGCATGTTTGGTGTGACAAGGATTCGAACCCGCGACCCTCAGATTGCGAGTCGAGTGCCTTAACCACCTGGCCATGCCAGGCCAAGAAAATTAGTAAATGGTATGACAGAGAGACAAAATAGCTTACCTTCATTCACTGTTATTTCATTCCAGAAACTTGTGAAAGTAGTAATGTAAACATATTACAATAATTATCTTCAAGTTTTGTATGTAAATGTATGATGTAAGTGTGTAAAATATCGCAATCAATTTTATACAAGAAAGAATTATGTCCACTATACAAAATAATGAGTAGACGGTTGGATTTTCTGATACTTTGCTATTAAAATGCAAAATCCGGCATTATAAACTCATATCAACTCCTCAGCGGGATCTGAACATTTAGTTACTGAGCATTTTGTTACCGCCACATTGTTGCTAGGACAACTTGTAACGGGTACATTCTTGTTACATCATTTTCGTGATATGGCAGTTTTTGTTACGAATACTGATTTTGTGACAGGTAGATTTTTAAATATAAAATTGATTGGTGACAGTAATAAAAAATAATACATCGAAAACTGTACAATCATTTGAAGACTATTCAGAAAACTTTTGATCCGTCTCTGCGAGAGAGGGGTGAGGTGGTGTCCTCCGTTACTTGAATTGGGTAATGGTGAACCTAGTAACAAAATTCACCAATTAAAAAAAAAAAACTTTGTAGTGAAATCTTTGTAACGATGTGACAGTAAGTTGAGTGCCGTAACAAAATGTTTTTCGTAAAAAAAGTCCATGTCACAAGCTGTCCTTAACGAAATATTCCATACTCTCCTGGTTCTAGATTTTTCTAAATGAGTGTGCCTGTTTGTTCATTAACATGATGTCCAGCTGTGGCTACACTCATTAAGTTCGGTGGTGAGCTGCATATCCTATGATTTAGGTGAGTCAGGATGAACAAATAGCAGTTGTATACTTGTGTTGTGGGTAATGGTCTGCCTTGTTTAGGTCTACAATTGGTTGGCAGCTGTAGTTGGCTTGCCTTCATTTGTCCAATGCCTCTCTCTCTCCACCTGAGTGAAATAGCCAAATGCCTTTCTTAAGACCTAATAACCTGATTCACTTCAAACTAAGAAATGAAATAATATTGTGTGAAACCACTTAGGCTAAATGGCAAATTATTTAAATTTCAGATTGCATGATTGATCATATAACTGCGAAGTGATTTACATTATTTTATAACATTAGCTTTGCTATGTCATAGCTATAATATTATGTAATCCAGTTATCATTTAATAATTTCAGTAGTGTATATTCATTTGTTACATTAAGCACCTTCTCTTTATTATGTCAGAATCTCATTGTCTCAGTCATGCTTATTTCAGTGCATCACAAATTAAGTAAATAGAAACAAAAGTACCAATATTTATATCTCTAAATGGTAAGCTAAAAATTCAAGGGAGACAACAAGTTGTAAATACTATACAACTCATTAGTTTAGGCTAGTGAGTCCTATATTAGGCCTAGCCACAGACCTGGAGGATAATAGACTACCGTTCCTATAGATGTGGTGGCTAGTTTAGAGTGTACAACTTTGTGTGTGCTTGTGCAAATAGGTAGATTGAGGTACAGATTTTGTTTAATCCAGGAACCTCATGAATTGTGATAGGCTTGTTGTGAATGGAAGAGTTCAACTGTGCATCTATTTTGGATTGAGATTTGTTGTCATAGATCTTGGATCCAGCAGTAACATCTTGGGTTTAGACAACCTTAGATTATAGACGTTGTGTAGTCTGTACAACAAGTGATTTGCAGCCTTATTGGAAAACTATCAAATATAATCCAAAATACACACGAGTACTCAATATTTCACGAGTGCAGGTACATCAGGATATTAAAATTCAATTTAATATACAGGTGTTATTTCTTGATCTGTTGCAAACACAGCCTCAAGTTGCACCGGCAGTTAATTCTGTAACAGATTTGTTTGTTTGGTTGATGTTAAGCTTAAAGCTACACAATCGTCTATCTGTGCTCTTCCCAACACAGGTATCGAAACCCTATTTTTAGTGTCATAAACCTACAGACTTACCCCTGAGTCACTTGGGGCAACATTGTAATAGAAGCAAAGCTTGATCCAAGTTTGTTTGTTTTTTTCTCATTGCTATTTAGACCACACTTACTGTTAATGTTATCTCTCCAAGAGCGATATATTCTCCTGTGGTTGTTTATAATTATGGCAACCAAACAGTTAAGTTACTGGCTGGACTGATGTTTGATATGGTACATAAGGAGTAAGTGAAACAAGTGTTTTAGTTTGTATTTCTTTGGCCACATAATGTTGACATGCAAGTACATAGTTGGTAAAAGATCTGAAATCTCCAGTTGTAGGTCATGTGAGAGTACGCAATCAGAGCAAACATGCAATAGTATCAATGAAATTCTCCAATGTAATTATTGGACTAGATGTCTGGCTGAAAAGAACAAACAGCATATAGCATCATGTCGGTACCTGATGTGTCTGCCCTTACTATAAAGCAGCTGCCACGTAGGTTTCCTTGGAAAACAAGGAATATAGACAGCACTGAGCCAACATGGATGCTTAACCCATTGACTGCTGATTCGCCGTATAGGGTACGGTCCGCCTCCATCAGTTGAATGCGAGTGTGCCGTATAGTGTGTACGGCTTACAAAATTTCCGCGCGCGCTTACAGCAACCGCAGACAATGGGATTAAAATGGAAACATTCAACATTCAGTAAATGCCTGGTCATTACCAATGGTGACTGTGAAAAAGAAGGGAAGCATGTCTGGTTATGAGTGGACTTCAGCCAGATAAGCAGCGTGGTGCATTCTGATGCATTTCCACTATAATATACAAGTAAATGTCTAGGTACGTTGAGTGAGTCCTGCTGAGTTAGTTCACTGGTTCTTTCTTCTGGTTACTATCAGGTAGAGCTTGATGATGAAACCAGAGACAAGATTATCAGCACTAGAGAAGGTTTGTATGAATTATACATAATTCAATGTGTAATGTACAAACCATTTTCAAGCAGACGGTGACTGACTTTTTTTCTTTTTTTTTGTTGCAAATTTCAGGGTATATTTGAAAAGCTGGGTATGGTGTTTCAATGTTTTTGGCAAGCAAGTCTGAAACTAGAATTTAGTGAATAAAATAAAGCTTTTTTGGCTTTGTGTCGTTATAAATGAATGCGGCCAAGTTTTTTCCTATAGAAGCACTGTTTTCGTCATTAATTAAATTTAATGTCAGTTTAGGTGTACTGAGAAAAGTCATCTCATTCACTCAAATGCCCCTCGGAGTTACGGTGTTGGCTTATCCATGACGAGACGTTCTGTTGTTCCTGCATATTTAAAGTTAGTGTTTGGGTCATGTAGGAAAAATCGTTTACTTTGCTTTCCATAATTTCAGAATGGGAACCAAGACGTCCAATTTCTTAAGAAATATTATCAGATATAAATAATACTTTGTTTTATAGAGGTAAAAAAGGGATATCTATACAACCTAGTTTTTCTTATACAGGTATGAATTTTGTGCATTTTCACAAACTTATCAAGTAATTTAATATATGGTTTACTTTATGATACTGTTCTTCCTATTCAGTTTTATTATTCTTTCCTCTTATTAGGTTTTGTTATAATTAAATCAACAATTGTACAGTACATTTTTTCAAATTATAAAGATTCATTTTAGATCAACGATAAGTTGACGGACGTAACAAAGCTAAAATCTAAAGTTTTTTTTTCCTTACGGTGGATAGAGCGCCTATATAGCCCACTGTATATCTTTGCGCCAAAACAAGAATCAAACTTTAAATAGTAAACCCTAAAGATGTCAAATTTTTAAACGTTAAATCGTCTCAGGTCAACATACCCTCATAAGCCTGTTTAATTTTAATATTATCAATTGGCTAACGGCCTAATTTGTTACTGGTAGTGTAAAACTATGAAATCCTACAACCTTATGTTTCCTGTAGGTTGGTTTCTGATGCTCTCAGTCAGGTGTTTCCCATAAGTCTGTATTGGAGATATACAAACTGTATTTTACCAGAGATTGTGTTTCTAATCAGATAGTGCTGTTGGTGGGTTTAGAAAACTGTGAAACACTGATAAACTTTTTTGACTATATGGTTTCATATGTTAAATTACATTTTTACTTCATAATTTTCGCAGTTCATATAACAAAGAATTAATTATTTTATTCCAGATTAATTCTCTTCCGTTATAATATCAATTTGAAACATATTACTAGATTATACAATACAAAA